CAATGTCACAGGCAGTGACTTTACCTGCTACGCCACATCAGCCCTGCTAGCCTCTATTCTAAGAACTTCTTTTGCAAGAACTCCCAGACAGGACTCCGGATACAAGGCCTTGACATTTATTATCACCCCTGTGGCTAACATCTTGATGTTAACTTTAATCCAGATGTTTTCCAGGAACTTCAAGCCCTGTTCCAAACAAAGTAGCAACCAATTTGCACCTTCAGTCCCAGGTGGCTGAATCTCACTTGGCCATCATAACATCTTCAGAACATACTGACCTCCCCTCACTGACCAATCAAAGGAAGGCCCTGAGTTCTGGGGATCAACCAGAGACCCACTAATTGGGTTGCTCAGCCCCAGCTTTGAACTGTTAACTCCTTCTGGGAGTCCAGAAATTAAGTCGTGGCTGCCTGATTCTTTGCTCTGTATTTTGCAATAAACACCTGCTTTTTCCCACCACCCATATCAATAATTGGCTTGCTATACATCTGTTGAGTGGACCCAGTTTCAGAGTTCTATAGCAAGCACAATAGAGTTTTATTTATTTATTTTTAAAGGTCTATTTGTTTATTTGACAGAGAGAAGGAGACACAAATGAGAGCTCCATCCCCTGGTTCACTCCCTAAATGGCCACTACCGTCAGGTCTGTGCCAAGCTGAAGCCAGGAGCTTGAAACTCCATCCAGTTGAGTTGACTCAAGGAGATAGTACGTTTGTTGGAGTGGCCACACAGAGGAAGGTGGTCTCTGTGGTCCCAAATATGCTCTTCCCCAAATGTCATGGTAGCAGGACTTTTAAACAAGGGTACTTGTGGGAGGTCAGGGAAGACAGTGGACCTGGAAACTTATGCAAACAGCATGAGTCACAAAATTAGTCACAGAATAAGTAACCACAGTGTCATTGATGGCAACTGGCTTGCCTCAATTCTTTTTCATGAATGGAGTAATGAATTACGGTTCAGAGAGGCAAAAATAGGAACAAAGCAAAGCTTATTAAATACATTGCAAAAAGGAATGGGCCAGTTGAGTGAGCATGTGGCATCCTTTCTTCCTGGCTTAGGGCTTTTATCCCTAAAGTATGAGGGGATATTGACTGTAACATGGCCATGACACTCATGATTGGCATCTGTGATTCACATCTGGGAGTTGCATACCTTTGAGCTGTCTGTGCATGTGGCTATACACCAGGCTTTTCTGATTTGACTGAGGTTCCACTTTATTAGGATACTTTAGCCACAAGTTAAACCACAAAGTGGGCAGTCGTGGGCTGGGTCTTGGTGGAGAGCAGCGTCCTTGGTTTCACCCCTGCAGTAAGATCTTGTGGCCTGTTCTCAGTCCCTCATGTCTAATTATGTGCCTGATTACAAGATTAGTAGTTAGTTTTGTTAGTTAAAATGCGACAGGAAGGGAACAGAAGATGCATTTGTTATGGTTTCACAAGGACTGGGCCAGGCCAAAGTCAGAACCCAGGAACTCAGTCCAGTTCTCCCACGTGGTTGGAAGGGGCCCAAGTACTTGAGCTGTCACCTTCTGGGTTGGCAGAAAGCAGAGCTGGCAGTTGAACCCAGGCATTCCAATATGTGTGGGCATCTTAACTACTGACAAACTACTTACCCTCAGGAAGCCATTTTTTTTTAAGATTTTATTTATTTATTTGAGAGGTAGAGTTACAGATAGTGAGAAGGAGAGACAGAGAGAAAAGTCTTCCTTCCGTTGGTTCACTCCCCAAATGGCTGCAACGGCCAGACCTGCGCTGATCCGAAGCCATGAGCCAGGTGCTTCTTCCTAGTCTCCCACACGGGTGCAGGGGCCTAACCGCTTGGGCCATCCTCTACTGCTTTCCCAGGCCACAGCAGAGAGCTGGATTGGAAGAGGAGCAACTGGAACAGAATCTGGCACCCTGACTGGGACTAGAACCCCAGGCGGGGTGGGGGGGGCGGCACCACAGGCGGGACTAGAGCAGGTGCCCACATGGGATGCCAGTGCCGCCGGAGGAGGATTAACCTACTACACCACAAGCCGGCCTCAGGAAGCCATTTTTTTTTTTTTAATAATTTTCATTGAGATCTGTCAGTACATATCAAATAATTTTCATTGTTTATTATGAGAAAACAAACCCATTTAAGGAAAACTTTTTTGAAGTTTATTTATTTTTATTTTACTTGAACAGCACACACACACACAGAGAGAGAGAGAGAGAGAGAGAGAAATCTATTTTCCATCTGCTGATTCATTCCCCAAATGCCCTCAACAGTCAGGGCTGGGTCAGGCTGAAGCCAGGGGCCCAGAATTCCATCTGGGTCTCCCATATGGGTGGCAGGGGTAAAGGTGTTACAACTTTTTCTCTACATCAGATTCTTTGTTTCTTGACCATGAACAATGACTCACATGGATAACAAGGAGTAAGCAAAGTGCAGGAAGTTTATTGAGTGAAAGATAAAGCTCCCAATAGCCAGGAGAGGTTCAAACGGAGTCATGTCTAGGGGTTTTAAATTTTTTTTGTTTTAAGAATTTTATTTATTTGGAAGTCCAATGCACTATCCATTGCACCACGGAGCCACCTAAGAATTTTATTTGAAAGGCAGAGTTACAGAGAGAGAAGAGAGGCAGAGAGAGAGAGAGAGAGAGAGATCTTCTATCCACTGGTTCGCTCCCCAAATGGCCAGGGCTGGTCTGGACCAAAGTCAGGAGCCAGGAGCTTCTTCCAGGTCTCCCATGTGGGTGCTTAGAAGGTCCTTGGGCCATCTTCTACTACTTTCCTAGGCACATTGGCAGGGAAGCTGGCTTAGAAGTGGAGCAGCCAAGACTTGAACTGTTGCAGATACCAGATGCCAGCACTGCAGGTGGCAGCTTCCAGCCCCTTAAATGTTTTAAATGGAGAACCTTCCCTGATTGGTGATCATCTATATGTTAATATGATGAAAACCTTCCATTCTTGATGTGAGCCACTCAGGGAACAGCTGCCAGAAATGAATATTTGCATATATATATATATGCTAACAAGGTGAAAACTGATTCACTCATTGGAAGCTACTCAGAGGTCAGAGCCAGAGTAACTGATTTTTTCCAGAGAAAGTTGATACAGTGCTCAGACAGGTCCTCGGTGGTCAGGACCTTTGGCTGATGCAGCATCTTCTGACGATTGTGTGATCCTTCCTCAGTGCTGCTTTCTCCCTCTTTTGTCTGCCTGCATGAAGAATCTATCTCCTGTCTCTATCAAAAGCGATGGCTCCATCATCTGCTGCCTTCCCTGATGGCATTAGCAGCAAGCTGGCTGGAAGTGGAGCCGCTGGGACTCAGTCCTTTGGATGCAGGTGTCCTGGGTGGAGGCTTAACTCATTGTGCCACTATTTTTAAAAGCACTGGAAAAAAAAAATCTGTCAGTACATGTCAAATAGTTTTCAGTTAAAATAGTCCAGGTAGTTGTTATAGTTTTGAATGTAGTGATTGTAAAATAATGCAGTGATTCTCAAAATGTGGTCCACAGGTTAGCAATGCTGCAGTCACCTTTGAGCTTGTTAAACCTGCAGAGTCTTGATTTTATCCCACATCAATTTCATTCCAAAATCTGAGGGAGGAGTTTTGCCCCCTGTGTTCTAATAAGTCTGCCAGGTATTTCTGATCTGAAGTTTGAGAAGCATTGAATTGATAAAGTATGTCAGTGATTTACATAAAAATTTCAGTATCCCTCAGGGTGACCTTTAGCACTATCTCTGTTTTGGAGATGCATACTAGTAAATGAATAACTTGATTGATTTAATTATTTACTAGGTTGTTTTTTTTTTTTTTTTTGGGCGAGGGTGTCATCTCAGATTTATTTTACTGAAGGAAGCATTGTTAATAACTGAGTTACTTTGCTGAATTTTAGTATTTGCTTAGAAGGTTAACATGACTAGGTTTAAATATTTCGAGGTATAAGTAGGTTTGTCCTAAAATTTCTAGTTACTTTAATAGAACATTTAAATTCAGCAATTAAGCTAATTTTCCTCATAGCAGCCCTTTATAGTTTATATATAAGGAATTTAGCAATACTATTTACATTCACCACAGCACCAGATCTTAACCTTAGTGAAATGGTATTAACTTGTTTGGTAGGCAGTGACATTTACCAGAAGGTTGTTTTTTTTTTTTTAATTGAAGACTCTTTATTTTGCTGGATTTTTGTGTGCGAGGTGGAGAAGATTGACTTTGAAACTGATTTAATATGGATACAATTTTCTGAGTGGTCTCTGTCCTTTCCTTATTCTTTTCCAACATCTAATCAATCACCAGTTCCTCATCAGCACTACCTCTTCAATATCTCTGTCTCGATATGGTCATCTTCTGCTCTGAGCCACCATTCCGCTTTCCCCTGGGCTTCCAACTGACTTACTGGAATCCATTCTCACTGGGTAAATAAATTAGTCTTTAACATATGCCTGATCATGTCCCTTCCACTTACAGGTCATCAGTACTCCTGATAAAATCTACCATATTCCATGGCCTTCGAGACCTTGCCTGACCTAGCTTCTTCAGCTCTGAGATCTTTCTACCTTCTTTTAGTCCTGAAATGTGTTTCTATCTACTATGGGACCTTTTTGTTTGCTGTTTTCTCATGATCCTGCTGACCTTCTATTCATCTTTATATCTTAGCTTAAATATCACCATTTTAGGGGATTCTTCCCTGATATACTGTTTCTCTGCTCTGCCCCCATACATGCATGGCCCTGGTTATTGGCTTTCCTAGCTTTCTCTGTACTTTGGTAATATCATACTTATTTTTGTATTTATTTATTGTCTGCCATCCTTCTATACCATGTTCCATGAGGGCAAGAGCCACTTCTGGTAACCTGAGTGCACAGCAAAATATCTGACATATGATGTCCAAAGTATATGATGGATGAATGAGTGATGAGTGAATGAACCAGTGATCAAACAATGATTAATTTTCATGAAATAGGATAAGGTTTGTTCAGTTGCTGCATTTTTGTGACTAAGCTGTTCCTTATTTTTACATATATAGACTATGCTTGTGCTCTTCAGAGGGATATTTTGCTTCAAGGACGACTATACCTTTCAGAAAACTGGCTATGTTTCTATAGCAACATCTTCAGATGGGAAACTACAGTAAGATATATTTTTGCCTTGATCTTTTGATGAAAATAATTGCATAGATAGAAATGTATACATTCCTCCAAAAATGATGTACTTTAGATGATTCCAAAGTTGGTGTATATGGATCTACACATTTATACTTGTATACATGTAAATAGATTTGTCTGTTGTAGTGTAAGTGTGTAATATATTTTTGTAACTTAATATGTTGAACTACATTTGTACTTACTTATTGCAGTTAGAGAAAGAGATTTCAAGTTGAAAACACTTGAACATACATTTGTTGGCTGCCAGAGCCATCTTATATGACTGTCTGATTTTGAGTGATTGTGTGTTAATGTGGAACATGGACATCTGCATGTCTTTTCACTCTTTATCCTGATGTTAAATAGAGGTATTAATGCAGGAGAATATAGAAGGGAAGCATGTCTGACTTCTCTGTTTTTTCAGAAAATACAAGCATGTGCCTACTAACTCCCTCAGAGTTTTCAGTTAGACTAGATTGAAGTGGTTCTTGGTAGCATATGTTGTATATCCTTCTGAAAATACATTTTGATTTTTTAATTCTTTTCTGTGTGTAGATTTCTATTGCTTTAAAGAATATAACCTTTATGACCAAGGAGAAAACTGCTCGACTCATCCCAAATGCTATCCAGATCATTACGCAGGGTGAAAAGGTGAAAAAATTTTCTACATTTGCCATTATATAATGTGAAGAAAGTCTGCCTCAAATTTGATCACTAGTGTCATGACTATGGCAATTCTTAGAGCTAGGAATATCTCGAAGAGATACATTATATTTATTTATAGATTGCTAAATGCCTGAACAGTGGTTGGTCATTAACTTTAATGACTGCTGACTTTTTTGTGCTTTGTAGTTTACAGAAAACTTTCACCCATAGTTTTCATTTCACCATTGTAAGAGGTAGGTAAGATAGCCATTAGCCAAATTCCTTATTATTTCTAAATAACCTATAATAATTCTCCAATTTTTGTTTAGCCAATACTTGTACAACAACTAATAGCAATAAATGGTTCTAGTAAGCAGAGATTTGGTTAGCATAAAGTAAACATATGATCATTATAATCTTGCTTTAGAATGGCATTTATTTGTAACTGCCACCATTTTTATTATCTACTTACAATATCTGCCATTTCTTAGTGGGGATATATGAAGAGTCTTACTATACCCAACTGGAAAATTGGTTAGGGCACTGTGAATGACATTAAAAACCTGGAGCTGAGAAAGAGAAGGAATAGCAAAGAAGGAGATGAAGAGAGGAAGAAGAAAAAGGAAGGAAGGAATGAAGGGAATGAAGCATAAGAAATTTTTAAAGAAGATAGGAAAAAGAAAGGGGCAAGGAGAAACCTTAACCATGATATTAAATATTTATAATCATTCTTTTAATCTTGTATAGTTTTTAAATGTGCTTTAAATTTTATTTTTAAATGATCCTGTCATTATAGAACACTTCCAAGTACAGTACAAAGATTTTCTTCCTTCCTGAACTGTACAAGAATAGCTTGTCACACTGATGCTTCATTTCCAGCAAAGACAGTCTCCCACACAACCACAACATAGCTGTCAAAATCAACAGATTTTCACTGATAATGTCCTTTAGAGCAAATAGACCCAGCTTAGAATTATACGTCACATATTATTATCATCCTATTTAGTGTCCTGGAAACAGTTTTGTCTTGACTGATATGCTCTTGACACTTAAAAAATTACAGATCAGTTATTTTGTAGGATATCCCTTGATTTGTGTTTGATTAAATGTGGGTCATGCTATTTTGGAAGAAATACATCAAAATGGTTCTCTATTTTTCATTGCATCCTATCAGATGACACATGATTTCAATTTGTAACATGCTGGTGATTTTTACTTTGATCACTGATTAAGGTAGTGATTGCCAGACTTTACTGTACAGTTAGATTATTTTCCTTTGTAGTAAGTATTTTGTGGCAAAATACTTTAAAATGATGCAATCTACCATTCTTACCTAGCTTTAAATTTATTCATCCATTTACTTGCATAAGAGTGAACTCATGGTTTCTTATTTTAGTCAATGAGTTGTAATTTATTGCTATCGATAATTATTTTGATGCTAAGATTTCCTAAATTTGACCAGTGAGAGCCCTCTCAGGCTGGCTCGAATGCCTTTTTGACTAGCATTGTTGAAGCATTTTCTTGCTTTTGGGGACAAGGTGTTCCAGGCTTTCCCTGCCACAGTGCTGGAACTGGCCATTTCTCCAAGGAATCCCGATTTCTTTTAAAGTATACTGATACTTTTGAAGCCAATGTCTTTATTGGCACTAGGGTGTCACTATTCCTGAAATTTCCAAGTAGGCAGAGCAGGGTATTTATTATGTAATATGAGCACATACCCATATTCATAATGCATGCACATATATCCACAATTTGTCAATCTATCTATATGTAGATAACTGCCTACCCCAAACCATGAATTCACCCCAGTACCTCCGATTCCAATCTAACACCACAGAATTCATTTTCATTTTCTCCTTTTCCATGTTTATAACTCCTTTCACCGACAGTGAGAAACTAACTCCCACTATCCTTAATGTGGTTACTTTTTTGATCAGGTGGCCTAAATGTAAGCAGTCTCTGTCTCCACTGCTGCCGCTCTGATTTGGGTGGCTTTTCACCTGACTCGGTTTCTGGCGCTTGGAGTGAGTCTGTACCTGTAGATGCACTCACAGTGTAAACACTTTCTTCATGCCAAGCCCCTTCCCTGTGTTCCCATTCCCTGGGCCGGGTTGCCGCTCCGCAGGGACATCCTCCATTCCCTGTTTGTGCTCTGACATTCTGTGCGGGTCTGTCACTGCCCTCATGCAGCTCAGCCTCTGAGGCCCCAATAGAAGACTGTGTCATCCTCATCCGTTCTGGCTCACACATGCTTTTGTAGGCTGCCCTCATTCCCGTCTACACTCCTGTTTGGGTTTTGACATTCCCCACCCGGTAACCATTTACATGGTCACCCTCCTGGGGCTCTGACCTGGGCCCTCCCCCATACTCTTGTTACCCTGTTCTTGCTTAATACTCTGCTTCAGGCTACTCCCATATGTGGAGGCGCTTCTTGCCCATGTGGGCTCTGACACTGAGAACCAGGCGACCCCTCTGTGTGGACGCCCTCATTCTTTTCTGGTTCTGCCACCCTGTTTCAGATTTCTGCAGCTCCTCTGCCCCTCCCCTCACCCTCAGTGTGGATGCTTGGATACCTGTTTATCTCTGTTCCACTAACAGCTTTAGGACTGAACTGCTCAGGAAGGGGAGAGAATGAACTGAATTATTCTTAGCTTTGTACTAAATACATGCACATATTTTCATTATTTAACAAAATCATCAAACCGTTCTTTTTATCTTCCCTCTATACTCATAATTCCCAATCCCACTGCCTTTCTGGAAGCAGACACTATTATCAGCTTGGTGTATATCTTTTCAGACCTTCCTCCTATGGATGCATACATATAAACAGAGTTTTGCTTTTATTTGATGTGAATGCTATCTTATACATGTTGCCCTTTAGCTCTCCTTTTAAAAAAAAAACACATTATCTCTTGGCAGTGAGACATATATAGGTACACCTATCTCTGTTTTTCATAGCACTCTATGGTATTTCATAGAATGGGTGTACCATGGTTTCCTTGGCCACTAGTTCATTTTTAATGTCCTGTATTCTAAGTAATACTGTAGTGAACATCCTGACCATGCCTTCTTAAGCTCATATGTGACTGTTTCTCACATATGTCAAGGAATTCAGGGTTAAGCATTTAATTTTAATTTTAGTAGTGACAGTAACATCTAGCATTTATTGAACACTGTGTAGTAGATGCTGTTTTAAATTCTTTACGTATAGTTTTTCTTACTTCATTATCACAAAAAATCTAGTACTATCATTGTTCTCATTTTGCAGATAAGGCAACTAAAGAAACTAAAGAAACAGAAGCAACCCAAGTCACAGAACTAATAAGTGGTGGCGTTGGAACCTGAACCTAGGCAGTTTAATGTCAGAGACCCTGATTTCAACTTCTTTTCTATGTTAACTCAGTGATCTCTTTTGCCATTATCATGGGAAAAAAAACTATGTACTATTAAATCTTCATCCCTTTTACATGTTTTATGACTGAAGGAAGGTTATTTGTGGCACTTTCTGTTGTTCCAGGTTCTAGAATATGTTCTGTACTCCAGCAGCTTAGAGATATCATCATCTAGAACTCTTCCAAAATTAAGGTTACTATTGAACCAAGATTTTTTTTTTTTTTTTTTTTTTTTTTTTTTTTTTTTTTTTGACAGGCAGAGTGGACAGTGAGAGAGAGAGACAGAGAGAAAGGTCTTCCTTTGCCGCTGGTTCACCCTCCAATGGCCGCCGCTGCAGCCGGCGCACCGCGCTGATCCTGGCAGGAGCCAGGAGCCAGGTGCTTTTCCTGGTCTCCCATGGGGTGCAGGGCCCAAGCACCTGGGCCATCCTCCACTGCACTCCCTGGCCATAGCAGAGAGCTGGCCTGGAAGAGGGGCAACCGGGACAGAATCCGGCGCCCCAACCGGGACTAGAACCCGGTGTGCCGGCGCCGCAAGGTGGAGGATTAGCCTATTGAGCCACGGCGCCGGCTCTGAACCAAGATTTTTTTTTTTACATTTTTGAAGTTGGATATCCAGAAAGGAATAAACGAATGTAGCAATGTATATAAACTATCCATGAAGCTGGGGGTTTTAAGGATTTGGGAATGGATGGTTGTGTATGAAAGTGAGTAAAGTAAATAATAAGGTGTTTTGGTTTAAGAAGTGTGAATAGCCAGCGCTGCGGCTCACTAGGCTAATCCTCCGCCTTGCGGCGCTGGCACACCGGGTTCTAGTCCCGGTCCGGGTGCCGGATTCTGTCCTGGTTGCCCCTCTTCCAGGCCAGCTCTCTGCTGTGGCCAGGGAGTGCAGTGGAGGATGGCCCAAGTCCTTAGGCCCTGCACCCCATGGGAGACCAGGATAAGTACCTGGCTCCTGGCTTCGGATCAGCGCGGTGCGCCGGCTGCAGCGCGCCAGCCGCGGCGGCCATTGGAGGGTGAACCAGCGGCAAAGGAAGACCTTTCTCTCTGTCTCTCTCTCTCTCACTGTCCACTCTGCCTGTCAAGTGTGAATAAGCAGGCATGATACAGTGGTGAAAACAAGATAGACTGGGAGAACTTTCTAATGTACATCTGCACAGGGCTGATGTGAATGGAAGGGGAGAGGGAGTGGATAAGGGGAGAGTTGCGGGTTGGAGGGGCGTTATGGGGGGGAAGCCATTGTAATCCATATTCTATACTTTGGAAATTTATATTCATTAAATAAAAGTTAAAAAAATTATTATAATTAGACAAAACAATTTGGCTTAAGAAAAGGGAATAGGAGACAATAAAATCATTAGACTACATATTATATATGTAATTCTGTTCGGAAGAATTCCTGTTTATATTCTTTTTATGAAAACTTTTTCTTTATGAAGAACATATAGCAATATTTCAATTTAATGGATTGTAAAATAATGCTTTAAAATTTTTCTGTGAAAAGCATTAACACCCAAGATATTAATTTGACATTTACTTAATAAATCCAGAATAGAATTGAGCTACTGAGCTTTCTCCTTCCTGAAGATAACTACTCAAACCTGAAAGATCAGTAACAAAGGGATTGAAAGAGATGACACACTCAGATACTGTATAGGGCTGCATTTTGTCACATTTTCTCATAAAAGTGTATTTTAAAATATGGCTTTGCAAAAAATCAACTAGATGCAAAGAATAATAAGCTGAAAGTGGACATAGAACTATGAACATGCTGCTTTTCTATAACATTCAAAGAAAAGTTCAGGATTCATGAGTGTTTTAAATCTAAAATAGAAGATATTAGGTATATCTGGAATTTTTACAAAATTATGAAAGATAATAAAATTTAAAATTAAGATCCTTAAAATAAATCTATCTTTAAAATTCATTGATAGTTTTTGTTAATTCTTTGTGTGTACCTGGTTCAAATGGCATCCCAGTGATGTCTCTCTGCAAAGCTCAGAATAAAATAAAACCTTTTTCATTAATTTTGTTTTGATTAATTTTAATGCTAAAACTATAGTGAACATAAATAACTCCCTATTCCAAGACCCTTTCCGTATTAAATACTGACAAGATTGTGTGTACCGTAAGATAGCATTTGTTGTAAAAATATGATTTGTGAAGACAAATTGCTCATACAAAAGTTACCTATTTTTCTTCTATTGCAATAAAAAATTAAATAAAAATAGTAGATAAATCAGGCAGTGGTGACCTAGTAGGTTGTTTTGGCCATGGCAAATCCCCACAGACCTTCGTGAGAGACACTATCCCCTTTTTTCCATGATACTAAAATTGTCTTACTATTTTTCTTTGCAGTTTTTCTTTACATCTTTTGGTGCGAGAGATAGAAGTTACCTCAGTATCTTTAGGTTGTGGCAGAATGTATTATTAGATAAGGTAAGTGTTAATATCAGAGGAAGGTGCCTGTTATAAGACTCTCCTCCTATAAACCTAAATAGTTTATTCTAAGAAGAAATGTCAAGCAAATAAAATCAATAATATATTATCAATCCCTGGCCGGCGCTGTGGCTCAATAGGCTGATCCTCCACCTGCAGTGCCTGCACACCAGGTTCTAGTCCCAGTTGGGGCACTGGATTCTGTCCCAGTTGCCCCTCTTCCAGGCCAGCTCTCTGCTGTGGCCCGAGAGTGCAGTGGAGGATGGCCCAGGTCCTTGGGCCCTGCACCCACATGGGAGACCAGGAGAAGCACCTGGCTCCTGCTTTCGGATCAGCGTGGTGCGCCGGCCGCGGTAGCCATTGGAGGGTGAACCAACGGAAGGAAGACCTGTCTCTCTCTCTCACTGTCCACTCTGCCTGTAAAAAAAAAAAAAAGCAATCCCAGAATAATCAAACTAAAATTATGTAGTAAAAGAGATATCAAAGGAATTAAAGTGGTACACTAGAAAATATCATTTTAACCCCAAAAAAGCAGGAGAGGAGGAACAGAGGGACAAAAAGACATGACACGTAGAAAATAAACAGCAAAGTGGCAGAAATTACATAGATCATTAAATGTAAGTGGATTAACTACTTCAATCAAACGGACAAGATTAGCAGAATGAAAAAATATTTGCTCCAACTGTACATTCTCTATAGAGAAGTTAGATTCAAAGGCTCAAATAGGTTGAAAGGAAAATGAAGAAAAATGATATACATGATAAGCATGTAACCAAAAGAGAACTGAAATGTCTATATTAATATCAGACAAAGTAGACTTTAGGACAAAAATTAGTAATAATAATAATAATAAGGAAGAACATTTTATAATGACAAAAGGATCAATCCAGCTGAAATTCATAACAGTCATAAACCTATATGCATTTAGTAAGTGAGCCCTAAAATATGAAGCAAAGACAGACAATGAAAGAAGAAATGGACAATTCACCAATAGTAGTTAGAGACTTCAGTACCCAACTTTAAATGATGAATAGAAAAAAAAACTAATCAGAAGATCAACAAGGAAAAAATCAAGACTTGAACAAATGCCGTAACTAAACAGGACAAAGAGACAGCCATGGGACTTCTACCCAACTGCAACAGGATATACATCCTTCTCAAGTGTATGTGGAACTTTCTCCATAATAAACCATGTGGTAGATCATAAAGCAAGGCTCAATACTTTAAAGGGATTAAAATAATTTTTAAAAATGTTCTTTGACCACATGGAATGAAATTGGAAATTAATAGAAGGAAATTTGGGAAATTCACACAAAAAAAGTGGAAATTAAACAGAACATTCCTAAATAACCAATAGATGCAAAGAAAAATCACAGAGAAAATTCAAAAACACTTGAGTTAGATGAAAACTAACACAACACATCAAAATATATGATATAGCTAAAGCAGTATATAGAAGGTAGTTTATAGACATAAGTACCCACGTGGAAAAGAAGAATGAGCTATGTCTTAGTCTGTTTTCTCTCATTGTAACAAAATACTCAAGACTGGGTAATTTATAAAGAGTTTTATTTATAAAACTTCTAAAGGCTAGAAGTCCAAATTAGGCAGCTGTTTCTGCTGAGAGTCTTCTGTTGTTTTACCTCGTGGTAGAAAGAAGTAAAAGATAGCCGGTGCCGTGACTCACTTGGCTAATCCTGCGGCACTGGCACCCAGGTTCTAGTCCCAAATGGGGTGCCGGATTCTGTCCCAGTTGCTCGGCGCAGCACTAGCTGTAGCGGCCATTTGTGAGGTGAACCAATGGAAAGGGAAGACCTTTCTCTCTGTCTCTCTCTATAACTCTGCCTGTAAAAAAAAAAAAAAAGTAAAAGGATAAGCAGGCTCATGTAAAAGTGGGACGGACCACGAGATATGGACTTGCTTTATAACAGTCTGCTGTCATGGCTTCCTGAGAGTGATAACTCCCTCACTTCAGAAAGACATGAACCTATTTATGAGGGCTCCATCCTCAAAACCCAAGTACCACTAGGCACCAGCTTCTAACAATATTATATTTGAAAATTAAGGTTTCAAGACATGGAAATTTGGGGGACACACCCAAACCATAGTAATTGCAAATCAGTAACCTAACATTCCACCATGAGAAATAGAAAAAGGAGAGCAAACTAAACTCAGTAAAAGCAGAAGCAAGGAAATACTAAGGAGTAGAGCAGAAATAAATAAAATAATAAAATAGATAGAAAAATAGACAAATAGACAAAATCAAAAAAATTGACAAGCCTTTTCTAGATTGACCAAAAAAAAAAAAAAAAAAAAAAAAAAACTAAAATGATTCAGTTGGGAAGTGAAAGTGGTGATGTTACTACTGACCTCAGAAAAATAAAAAGGATATAAAGAAATAATCAGTTATGTTTAGCAAATTAATTACCCTAAATGAAATGGACAGAAAATCACAAATGGAGAGATGTTGATGAAAAGGTACTAAGTTCCAGACAAATGAGTTTTGGAGATCTGAAGTAAATCATAGGGACTGTCATTAACAATACTGTATTGTGCTGAGGGTAAAAATAAAAATTTATAAATAAAAGACAAAATATTAATTCCATGAGATGATGGATATGTTAATTAGGTTGGTTGTTGTGAGAATTACACAATGTATACATATATCAAAATAACAGGTTATATACACTTACTTCTATACAACTCCTAGTTGTCAGCTATACCTTAGTAAAGTTGAAAATGAACAAACAAGGCCGACGCCACGGCTCAATAGGCTAATCCTCCACCTGGCGGCGCCAGCACACCAGGTTCTAGTCCTGGTTGGGGCGCCGGATTCTGTCCCGGTTGCCCCTCTTCCAGGCCAGCTCTCTGCTGTGGCCCGGGAAGGCAGTGGAGGATGGCCCAAGTGCTTGGGCCCTGCACCCCATGGGAGACCAGGAGAAGCACCTGGCTCCTGGCCGCAGCGCACCAGCCATGGCGGCCATTGGAGGGTGAACCAGGGGCAAAAGGAAGACCTTTCTCTCTGTCTCTCTCTCTCACTATCCACTCTGCCTGTCAAAAAAAAAAAAAAAAAAAAAAAAAAAAAAAAAAAAAAAAGAACAAACAGAAATGTTGTTGAGTATCTGGGGAAACTGGAAGCCTCAAGTACATTGCTCATGGGTTTGTAAAAGGGAGTGGCCATTTTGGACCACCATCTGGCAGCTTCTCAGTTTTTGACATGGAGTTACCACATGACCCAACAGTTAGTTGCCTTCCTAGGAATATGTGTATGTATAGGCAAGACAACTGAAAGCCTATGCTTGTACAAAAACTTGTACCTGAACATTCATAGCAGCATTATTAAAAGCCAAAAATGTGGAAATCACTCAAATGTCCATCAACTGATAAATAAAATGCATATCCATAGAGTGGAACATTATTTAGAAAAAAAAAAAAGCAGTGAAGAGCTGATAGAGCTGCCCCTGGTTGAACCTTGAAAACATTATGCTGTGTGAAAGCAGTCAGTCACAAAAGAGCACTTGTGCTGACTCTTTATGCATTGTCTAGAATAGGCAAACTCATAGGAATAGGAAGTAAAAGACATTGCCGGGGGAGGGAGGGAGGGAGGGAGGGAGGAGGAGTGATTGTTAATGAGTGCCAGTGTTTTTGGGGGTTGTTGAAAATGTCCTGAACTTGGATAAACTAAAAATCATTGAATTGTGCACTTTAAATAGGTAAGATTTATGGGATGCTGAGTATAGCTAAATTAAGCTTTTTAAAGTTATTGTTGTTTTAATGGTTTAAAGGGACGAGTGGAGATTTCCAGCGAATAAGCAGGAGCTTCAACAGGCAGGGCGGGACTTAATCTCCTGGCCTCTCCTCTCCAGGAAAGTGTCTCACTGACGTGGACACATTCTGGCTCGAGGGCCCTGTGCGTTGAATGGTCATTTAAACTCAGCTAATAAGGAAAGGTTCTTCCTAAGCTGCACCTTACTGGGATGGTCTCACTTTGCTGAGTTCCGGGAAACCCGTGGAGGGGGGATCCCGAAGCTGCCGCGGAGCCGGGGGCTGGGGAGAGGACCAAAGCGACTGGGGACCACAGAGGATCTTGTGGAGCCCAGGCCCTCCAATCTCAGAGGGCTGGCCTGCCTCGCCACAGCCCCTTGCTCATGCCCCTACCCAAAGCCGTGCCCAGGGCTGCAGGTTGGCGGGTGGCTGGTTGTGTGGCGCTGGGCAGCCACCTGCGGAGGCCTGGAACAGGTGCCCGGAGGCGTGCTGCTTCCAGGCCTTCACTCCAGGCACGCCTGTCACGTTAAAATCCACTGTCCTAACTGCCTTGGGTGCTTGCATTCTCCTGGTCTGAAAATAGGGACCTGGCTATCCCCACCCGCAAACACCAATCTGAGGGGCCTCTCAGAATCAAAACGGCACATATTCACATGCGGTAAGTTGGGGTACATCCTTAAAAACGGCCTTCCGGGGAAGAGAGAGAATTTAGGCTTACAGATGAGCCCAAGGAGAGACCGAGAGACTGAGACTGCACTTCAGTGAAAAGAGCCCCCCAAAGGGAGAGGGAGGGTGGGAGGTCCAGGAGACCCGCTGAGAGTGAAACCTAAGCTTCCTCGAAAACAAAATCCCGATGCCATCTGTGTCCTTAATGCGTTACGCCTTTCAAATCTTTGGGTCATTTGGTTATCTTTAATATTGAATGTGCAGCTCAGTTTTAAGTGGACACTGCTGTTACTTTAGTAGAATGGTGATTGTATAATATGACAAAAATAAAGGTTTAAGCATATGGGTTAAATACAAGGCAGTACAGAATCTAAAGTTGAAAGTAGATTTACCAAGAAAAGGATCTAGAATAAACAAACAAGAAGCTGCCTTCTTTTCTTGTGGTCTCCTAGTGATCTTTAAAGAGCAATGTCATTGTTTAATGTACTAATATCTGTAACAGAAATAGCAACTCCCAATTATGAAGTATTGGGCATCAGACACAAGCCAGGTGTTTGAAATATTCTTGA